AAACAAACATATTCTTACAAACAAATTATATTCCTAATTCACAGTTCAAAAATACTCACAAATATAAAAAAAATACTGTTCCATATAGGTATAGGTACTTATAAGGTTTGAGTATATTAAAAATAGGAACGACTAGTGAAAATGAATAATAAAAATACAAAATGAATGAAAAGATGTATGTACAGTCGTATTCAATAAAAAAGCGTACAAGTATTGAAAAGAGAGGATTTCGGGATCCTAGTTCTTGTTGTGTAAAACTGGCTCAGCCAATGCTTTGTGTTTTCTAGAACCTATGAGGTGACATTGGTGAACATTTGGTGAACATTTGGTGAACAATCATTCCCGATATGCCCGTTTTATGCAGAATAGGATGACGTTAATTTCTCTCTGTAATATACTTGTACGTTTTATTTCGAATGCGACTGTACATCCATTACTTAATTTTAAAAATTTATGTAAACAGAGCGTGCCGAAATAATATGCAAATTTATAAATGTATGTGATTCATTGAAGATTAATAATTATGTAGGTGATTATAATTATGAATGGGTGTCAAAATATGTTTCAGTAGATTATGAAATGTTTTAGTAGATCATAATGCAAATCAGGAGATCTGCTGAAAATTTGGTGAAACTGGCAACCATGCAGAGGACGAAAAGTGTTTGCGGACGAAAAGTACTTGCCTTCGGAAATAGTCGGTTTCTTGTTCGGCAATTAGAACGAGAAATGTGATTTTTTGTTGAGGTCGGCGAAAAAATGAATTATTTTATCAACTGTCAACTGTGAAAATATTGATTTCTCATAATCTGTTATATCAAATACCTACTGACTATACCTATACTTGATGAAACTGAATATCTGATTGCTTTTGAATTACTTAACCAAACCCATATAATCAATGACACGACTATAGAACAGAAAAAAACGTATACTCGTAAATTATAGGTACCTATACCTCTATAAAAATAACATGCGTCACAGTGGTCGAATCAATCTAATAAACATGAAATGAAGATACGTAGAAAAAAAAGGATGACGAGAATATATCAACAAAAATAAATTTAATGATGGGTTATGGAATCATGGGAACATGTCACATTTCGGAAATATTGTCTAGATGATAAATGGATAAGGTAATATGTATACTTTGTGACAAGGTGACCACAGCTTTCGCTTTGGGATATAAATTTTTTGTTAATGTAAATAAATTGATAAATAGGTTTCACTTAATCTGCGTTTTTTTATAATGAATGTCTACCTATACCTACCTGTTCAGATTTCCTCGTTCCTTGTTCAATACATCATCTCATAGACATATACTATGACACAATGACAAATCGCAGAAAAACGATTGAAAAATTTACGCGTTCACCATCATACAATGCTTTTCTTTATTTTCATAAACCCATTACATCCCTATTATTTTTCGAACGGGGTCGTCTGAAAAAATTGAAATTTGTGGTAATGAAATTAACAGAGGACAATTTCAAGATGGCGACTTGATGGAATGTAATAGCCATCCCTAATGACCCTAATAACACAATTATGTCCCATAGATATCGTTAGGACCGTGGACGTCCATTGGACGTCTGTGAGACGCACAAATGTCCCACTTGAGGACCAACTATAAGAACGTCCTTGAGGGATGTCCCTAGGACACTATCGAATACCTAAATCCTACAGTATTCCCCATCAAGCACTACGGAGGACATCCTTAGGACACCCGTAGGACAACCTATCAGCATCGCTGAGGGATATCAATTGGATGTCCATTGGATGTCCCAGGGACGTATGAATTATCATTGGATTTGAATTTTTCGTGGTCCTACCAGGACCAGTTGATGGTCCGTCCGTAGAAGAAGGTCCCCAATAGATCCTGAAAAAGTTTCCCAAGGATGTCCAATGGAGTTACGTGAAGGAAATTGATGGGGAATATTTATAGCAATCCGATGGATGTCCCTAAAGGAACGTTTAAAATCATATCCCATCAGGGACATGCCAAGGACATTTGAAATGATGTACCAGCTGGGACATTCCGTGTACGTCCTTGCTCGGACATTGCATGAGCTGTACGGGATGGGACATCCCAAGGACACTTATTTTTGGTCCGGGACATTCGGACTTGAATTGTACCAAATAGGGACGTCCATAGGATGTTGTGTGCTATTAGGGATCATATTGATGTGTTTGTATTCAGGCAACTATTAAATGTTTTGCAATTTTGTAGTATTTGAGATATTGACTTAATATTCTATGGTTGTGAAGTAGTCATCATCAGGAGCTTCAAAAAGATGTGTCACAAGAATCCCCTTTCCATCAAATATAATATAATATTATATATAATATAATATAATGTTTCTTCATTGAATTATAAAGAGAAAATGAAATTTTTAACACCCTATTATAGCTCGAAGGTTAAAGGTTTAGTCATATGAACTTTTCTTTTTGAAATGAGCTAAGAAACCGTATCCAATACTCCAGCCTTCTTATAAATTACACAATGTATAACTTCGACTGTGGAAAAATCAAGTACTCACTCACTTGCAAATTTCGAAAATAAAATTAACTGCGTATTCTGAAAAGTGCGTTTCATGTGGAAAAAGTTTCTTGGGATCAACATCAACATCGTTAGATTCGTTAGTCCCTAATATACATAATAATATTCCCAGCAAATTTCAATTTTTCCAGTACCTACATACCTAACAGAGATACGTATCAAATACGTCACAAAAGTAAGGATGGATATACAGCGTGTCTCACTTTAAACGGCCCCCCCCCCTCTATATCTCAGTTATTGAACAAGCTATTCTAACCAAGTTTGGTGTGTTATGAATAACCATAAATATGATCAGTTTTACAGAGATGTGCCTGTTTTCCTGAAACCTTTTATAGGCATCTTATGAAAATCCACATATTTAGGTTTGAGACCATGAAGAACAATATTATATTAGGTCAGTTTTCCTGTGAAAAAATGCCTAATATGATTTAATGAAAAACTGACCCCTATTCATTTCAATAAAAATGCACGGCACTGTCTAAAATGATGTTTGTCTTTAAAGAACTGGTCATATTGATGATTATTCATAACGATACAAATTTGGTGAAGATCGCACGACTGATAGCTGAGATATAGGGGATATAGAGGAGCCGTTGGAAATGAAGTCACGCTGTATATATAAATATATATAGAGACTACGGAACTATATTTATTTAATTTCAAGTGACTTCTCTCAATAACTTCTTGACAAGCTTCTCGATAGAGTACCTATATCCTATATCTGGTACCAAAAACTATTGAGTGTTGAACAATATGATTGATAATATACTCGATAATATAGAAGTGTTCTTTTCTGAAGATGTGAAAGATGCACAAAACATGTATTGACCTCGATATTGACCATATATTTTCAAGGGTCAGATACGAGGTCAGATACCTGTTGTGGGATTGGCTGCAAAGGTGTTAAATGTCAAATGTGAATAAAATCGGCGCACCATTGTCAAAATCGTTGTATTCTATAGGATAAAATACTTATCAGATAGATAGATAGTTTTATTGTGTTGAAAAAATTATATTTTTATCACAAGGGCTCGGTATGCAAACATGATTCCACATGGATCATAAGTTGAGTAACTAATGTAGGTACATTACACATTACAGAGTTATACAAGTTCCTAAGTATACCTAATAGCCACATTTTTAACACTCATTCATTTATAATGAACGATCGTAACTTCATAATATTCATCAGGGACTTCACAAGGTTTGCTAAGTGTAAAATATTGTGAGTATTGAGTAGAAGTACTAGACCATCAATATCGCCGATTTCCGACAGAATCGCATTTTGCCTTATGCCTGAGTAGATTCTAATAGGATGTGATGCAAATACTTATTATACTGTTGAATTATTGTTAATTATTGAAAATAAGAGCAACAATGAATTATTGGACCCTTATTTGTTTCGAACACTAAGAACACATTTGACAATTTTCAAAAATTTGTATATTGCTACTTCAAAGTTGGGAACCAACTCCCCAGAAGTCGAAACTTGTGCGGGGATAGGAAGAGCGGGACCTACAGCTTATAGTGGAATCCGAACCACTTCTAGGGCATCGAGGCAATTGACACTCAATTCGACAGTTTATTGCTGGCAACAAATAGAACAGAATTTCTATACATTTCCAACTGAAATATTGTGTAGTTGCTTGGTTAGTATTTTGTCACGTGGCACCCAATTTATTAGTGTTGAAGAAATGATTCGTATTCCAATTCATTGGCTAATCAAGTTATACATAAGGAGACGCCAACCCTAGTCCTACGCTGATAAAGTATGACTACAAGTACTCAAGTAGGGAAATAAAATTCCCTACAGCAAGGTTGGTAAACGGTAGAGTCACTAGTGACATCTAGTAGTGTCGTGCTGAAACCCAACAAATTATGAAGAATCGAAAGCTTTGCTTTCATCCCACTCCGGCAGAATCCTAGCTGGGGAAGCCGTTGCCATTGGTTGCAAGATGTCGCTACGTACCGTACCTATCAAGGATAGTAGAACTGATGATAATTTGTATACAAATTGTCATCAGTTCTACCAACCTTCAATACATCTTTTATCCTTAGATCATACAGGAACTTTTATCCATCAATGATGAGAAAATTGATGAAATAAACCTCTATCTCAATACATAGATTAACGACTCCGCCAACTATGCTCAATACGAGAACATTGAGAAGAATGTACTAGGGAGAGATATGACCAAAATTATTTTTTCTAAAACAGTATAGACAATATTTTAGACTGTGCTGCATGCTATAAAAAATTGTTCTGGAAACATGAATGAAATGTAGCATTTACTCATTGTTCCCTTCTTGAATAACCCAGAACTGATAATAGAAATGGAAAGAAAACTATAACAAGCCAAGTCAAACTGATAATGAATTTCAAATTCAAAGAGACCAATTCCATTTCTAAATGATATTTTCTAGGGAAGAAATGATGTCATCATGATTTTCATATTCTATGATATATTCTACCATCAAAAGTAAACAGATAGAATCCTACATTGGATATTTAATCCTTGCCATTGTGAATAATTCTGGAAACACACAGAAACTTTTAATTCACACAAATCCTTATAGTTCATCACTTGTATTTATAAATTAAAAAGAAAGTGTACAGCAGGTGTGGGAGTCCCATAATAAGCTCAGCATTTGCACAAAAAACTGGAATCACCAAAGTGCAATGGATTGAAAATTTCTGGTTCAGCTCAGAAACTTGAACCTTCTACTGTGTGGCCACAACAGTCCTTGTCTTAGTCTGTATGGGCAGAAACAATTTGAACTCAGCAGGCAATTCATCTTCAGAATATAATCTATCAGAGAAATAAACTCTTCTTATTCTACAGTTAGCATGGACTTGTACTCTAAGTGTCTCTACATAGTTGGTACCATATGCTCTTCTTGTGAAATCAGCCACATTGAATTGGATTTGATTCCAGCCTTCATCCAGCCTCATTGGCATGGTGCATATAAATGGTTTGACTCTGGTAGTAGATTGGTAGTTACTTGCTCTGAATCTTCTGCGCACATTTTTATCGTCTAATATCTGAAATAACGATCAAACAAACATGCTAATTATGATAAAGAAAGTTAGATCAATACCTGGACTTCAAATGTGAAATACTTCTTCAGATTTTTAACTATCATCACAAGATAAGGCAACTTGATTCCTAGGGTCTTCTTGGGATCTGCAGGGCATGTTATGTAGGTTGTGCTCACGTTACATCCGATTAGTTCCAAGACCAAAGACTGGATGTCTTCGTCTGTGATTCTTTTGATATGGCCATTTTTGCACTTCTTATCCCATATTTGAAGCGGCTTGCTTCCGATACTGTACAAAATTGATAAAAATCCGCTTTGGAATGTATTCTTGAACATATTTGCCAATTCACTGATAATTTAAGACCACTTTTTGTACTCTACATGACAGCAAAATTATTAGGTTAGTTATTGAAATCTCGCATTGATCAAACATCAAACAAAAACAAAAATTGACATCTTCCACAACACAAACAGTGTTGTTCCTAGGTCAAATTTTTTCGTACAAGATTTCTTTGGAAGAAGGTAACAGATTTGAATCAAAAGGTAATAGATTGGAAAAGCCTGACATTTGACATTCCAAATGTAATTCTCGTCGAACTATCGCACGGATTAGACATTCATGACAGGAATGAGGCAAAAGTAACATAGAATTCATGACATGAATATAGAACATAGACTCATAGAGCAGAACATAATTATTCGCTGCACACAGAAATAGATCAAACATCATATTTTGAAGCTAACAGCAAATAGTAATAGATCCATGACGAAATAGTAATAGATCTATTACAAAAGTAATGACAAGAACAACACTGAACAAAAACAAACTAGAACACAGAACACGGACGTCAATTTCTGTTTCACACTGAGTACGCAGTGTTGCCAATAGCCAAATTTAAAAGCGGCTAGAAAAATAGCAAATTTTGGCTAAAAATAGGAGCGCTGCAAGGAAAAAATTTTGTTCATCATATTTTGGCAAATCCTGCCATTTTGTGCAATTTTTGTGGCAAAAACAAGAATTCTGACCATGAACTACGAATCTGACATTATTGAAAATTAATTTGAATATAATATTTTTGACATTGACGGATGACGTGATATGTTGACGTCATTGAGGTCAGCGTCAATTTGTCAAAATGGCACAAAGCATGGAGTACAAAATTTAGTAGTGCCTAAATCTTTCGAACCATTCCCATCACGTGATATGTTGAGATTCGTGTTTTTTGATGATTATTTTCCGCAATAAAACTGTGGAGGTTGAGTTTGGTCAGGAAGTCTTATTTTGGTCCACTTATAGCATGGCGTCATCCCTTTGTGATCATTTGTAAAGAATGTAAAGTGATTTAGGCTTTCAAGGAATTCAAGGATGTTTTTCCTTCCTTTCGAGCAAATGCGCATGCGTCCATAATGTATCAAAGTTAATAGACCTAGGGTCCCTTGATGGAAATTGACGTTAAAGTCATATAACAGGGTACGGACAGATCCTCGTCTCCTCTCACTCTAAAGTGTTTGTGAAACAGTTATATAGTTTTATCCTTATTCAATTCTGGGGATAAACACTAGATTTTTGACATTTGTTGTTTTCTAGGTTATATATTGAGGTCACTGGCGTATCATATGTAATTTCCATATGGAATTCCTGATTCAACTATACCAAGATATAGATGAAAAGTCCTCTAGTTTCAGAGTTTACTACTCCAACATAATATTTGCGAGGTAGGGAACATGCTTAGTAAATTTCACCAAAAGAGACTGTTCTTAGACTGTATACCAGGGTTGACTGAATTGACTGAATGAATTATGATTTCAAACTGAGCAGTAGTTAATCTATGAGCTGAATGAGCTGAGCCTTATGATTGAGAAATGGTGAAAACCTCGATGTGAGTATCTAAACTACTGTACTCATGTAATGTGTGCTAAATATATTTTGGGAAATCGAACTCGAAGAAGAATTTATGGAGTGACTAATATCACACTATATGTATAAAACTTCGTCTAGGACGAAAAGTAGGCTGATGAAAAGTAATACGTAAAATTTGCAGGAAAATAAAGAACCAATACAATATACTTCACCCCCATGTTATACATATGATTCTTCCGTCTCCCTTAAATAAAAAGTCATTTCAAATAATTTATTGATGAAAGTAACAAACAAGTAGGTATACGCAGTAAATATAATTTATAGGCACATTATTTTCAATCTTGCATTCTACATATTTTCTATTTGTGGTAGAGAATTAATTATATAAACTAATGTCTTTCGCCATATTGGATCCGTCATCTTGGATTTTCCAATTTTGACGAAACAATCATTATCTCCCACCCCGAAAACCCCTAACTATCAATTTTGAATAGAATCGAATCTTCATTACAAAACTTGTTCGCCATATGATCTTCCTCAACAAGTAAACACCCTGTACATACCTATTATTGAAATTTTGAATGATTTTCTGTAGCGCCCATGGATGTGACGTGACAGCAATGTCAGGGATACCAGTAGACAAAACTAAAGTCTCTAGATCATTAAAAAAGAATGCAGCTATGATGATCTGTCCGTACGAAGACGGCTGTGACCCTGTTATATGACTTTAACGTCAATTTCCATCAAGGGACCCTAAATAGACCTTGATTCACTGTGACCAATCTGACAATGAGGTTTGGGAATGGTTCGAAAACTTTAGGATCCCGACAAAATCCATAATACCTACAGACTGGCCTGAATTTGACTTAGATGAGTAGATCGTGAATATGATAAACTATCTATGCAAAATTCGTGAATATGAGAATATTTGTATAGAAAATCAGAATGGAAGATGGCTAGAAAGAATGGTTAAATCGTTAAATGGCTAGATGCAATTTTCAGTAACTAGATGAGTTCAAAAATGGCTAGAACTAGTCATAAAATGGCTGAGTTGGCAGCACTGTAGAGTACAATTTCCTTGGGAACCATTCTTTATACAGGGCAGGACCACACAAGAGTTCCCCCGTGTAGAATGAAGACCCGATGGCGTAGGTAATGATACCTGTGTTGCAGGAATCTTCATCATTCTTTTGAAGTAATCGAATATCTGTCTGCAGTCTAATTTTGTGATAAGATTTTCAAAAATTGCGAATTTAGTGGTTGTTTCTATAATTACGCTTTCATTCTCCTGAATAATTTATGTAGATTATGGAAAAAATATTTCAGATTCCCAAAAATCATGACATACTACAGGGTGAATATCACTTATACACGTTACATAAATTCACGTGTTTAGTCTACAGTCCATACTGTGCTGGATAGTGTGTACAGGACTGACCATGTTTATTATTTGTTCGAAAGTAGATTATTATATATGATAGGTAGTTGGAGCTAGGAAGAAATATTAAAAGACACATACGTATTTTCCATAAACCAATATTGTTATATTTTTGTCAAAGATATAGACATATTCGTACTCCAATAAAACATCTATAAAATTTGTATCAGTATAATGATAATGATATGTATTCATCATAAGCAACTTGTTATAACACAAATAACACTAAGCCTTGATTATCACAGAACTAACAAATAATACTTGTGTGGTGTGTTGGTGTGTGTTGGTGTAGGTAATATACAGAATGTCCGAATTTTCATTGTGATGATTTTGAATAATGGATGGTCACTCCAAATACTATTTATAATAAAAACTAAGATTGAAATAAGTAGGTATATATCGTGCCATTTCAGCAATGATAATACGAACATTCATGCAATTAACATAATATATACAGGGTATGTCACGACTAGCTTACAGCTTATATCGAGAAAAATCCATGAAAATGTGCATGCTTATATTTCGGAATACGCTCTCTTCATTCAAAATATATTCGACAATGCAGTGTTGCCGTTTCTACTATAAAGTAGTAGCAACATTGATATTTCACATTTGGAGATTTTCCCTGAAAACCTGATTTCATCGATGTATCACACTTGGGGTCTATCGAAAATGATGACAGAGCAGAGATATAAGGTGTTCAAAATCGGAATTTTTCAACTTTAGGATTTTTTATTGTAGAAACTATTCATTATTGGTCAGAACGGCTTACATGTCCATATCTCAACTTCAGATTCACTATTTACTGATATTTTATCGGAACAGATACAGGGTAGGGTGGTTCAAGATTCAAAATTCTGATCACCCTGTATGTGTTCCGATCAAATATCAGTTAACATCAGATCAAAAGTTGAGATAGGGACATATGAGCCGTTTTGGCCGATAATGAATAGTTTCGACACAAAGAAATTCTAAAGTTCAAAATTCCTGATTTTGACCACCCTGGAATCATTTTCGATAGACCCCAAGTATAATGTATCGATGAAATCACCTCTTCAGGGAGAATATGAAAATGCATAATATAGTACATGGTATATTCTTCTGAAATAACAAAGTTGTTGCTACTTTTCGATAGAAGTGGCAACACTGCATTGCTGAAAATATTTCAAATGAAGAGAGCGTATTCTAAAATATAGGCATGCATATTTTCATGGATTTCTTTCGACTGATTCTCGATATGGAGATAGTGTAAGCTCGTCGTGACACCCTGTATACCTACTGTGTATGTCAATGTAATTTTTTTATCAATGAGGCCTAAGATTATTATGTATATTTACTATGGACAAGTTATACTGTGCGGGCATCACTATACAAAGTGAGAATAACGACTGTATATAATATTCAACATCAAAATACATTCATTTAGTATAATACAATGATGATTTTCCATTTTCACATAGTCATATGGTACCTGATTTCAGATTCATCATACCTAGTAGAGTAGAATGAAATATCTGAATCACTTTCAATCCCAGTAGAACAGTAGGTATTGTCATCTTTAAATAATCTCTGTCCAATATACAGTATGATGCAAATGTATGGAATAAATTCATTATTTCAGAAATGGGCGACATTTGAAGAAATTCCAAAAACACGTTAGTTTTAATTTTTGAAGCCTCATCTCATGACATTCATATAAGAGATGTTACGTCACTGGTGTAGAAGTAATGACCTAATGGACGATTTTTTCAAATACAAGCAGGAGTCATGTGACACCTCGTTTGAAAGGTCTACTGATCGTCTATCCAACAGTCAAAATTTTGCATAAGAATATTGCAATTAAAATGGATTATCATTTGATTAACTGAATCTTGCAGAGGTCTGCTACTGAGAATTAAACATCGAAGGGTCGTCTAGTTGAAAAAATACACAATAAAAAAAGTTCTGAACTCTAGTTTTTGGATTTTTTTCGGAAGTCGTCTTGTTTTGGAATGAATTTATTCCATACATTTGCATCATACTGTATACCAGGTGTATCAGTACGCCTATTCCAATAAGATATATCTCAATACTTTCAGAAGTTGGCAATTATTTGTGGTTTTCATCA